TCCATACACCTTGTGACACTGCATTGTAGCCCAAACTATAGTGACAACACTCAAATAAAGGCAACCCACACACAGATACACACACACACACACACACACACACACGCACGCACACGCACACACACACACACACACACACACACACACACACACACACTTAGAACTACCTCAAACTAAAACGCTTACTCATACTCTCAAAGTACCACTTCTAAAATGCATGCGTCTAATCTCATTGATTTTCCATACATTTCAGCACCTTCATCTTTCTCTACCTGCTCCACACGCTCAACCTTCACCCTGCACCAATGCCTCTGATTTCTTTACCTCTTCGAAGTGGTCTTGATGATTTCAGAGACTTTCTGCATGTAATCGGTGGCGAGCACCACGATCTCTTCATCTTCTGAAAAGTTGTCATGGAAAATTCTGTCCAGCAAACGTTTCCAATGAAGCTGCAATAACAAGAGGGTGGTTTAGATTGTATGTAATCATACAGTTTAACCTTTTAAGAGACAAAAAATTGGATAAATGGATCATACTATGCATAAATACATAGTATGATCTACGGGACTATTGCTATTCCAAATCAAAGTAGGCCTGTGTCAGCCACTCAGTCCAGTCATCCTAAACAACCATCTAAATAATTTGTTCCTATTCTTAGAACCTATACTGGTAACTGGATATATGCTGTAGGTAAATGGTTAATGGTAAATATTTAGGTTTAGGCAAAAAGAAGAAAAGAAGTTGCTTGGTGACTGTTTTCAGTTTTCAGTTTTATTTGTCATATGCAAGTTAGCACAGGGTCAACATTGCAATGAAATGTATTTTGGTGGTTACTGAACATTTCCAAGCTGACCAAACTGACGCCCAGTTCAGCAAGCTCCAGACTGAGCAGTACCAAGCAAACAAGGTGGAATTTCAAAGGGAATCTGGGCCTTCTGGTGCAGGTAGTGAAGCTAAGATGAAAATGCTTCTCTATCTGTAAACAGTTTCTTTCAAATGAAGTATAACTGTCAAATGCGATCAAGCATCCATCATGAATGTACAGTAAAAGTACAGCAATAAAGTATTGCTCCAACCAAGTGCTTTAAACACTGACTAATGTTTCAAACATGGTGAAACATTGTTAATAAATTTAAGTGTTGTTTTGGGGAATTACTGACCATGTCCAAACCAAACAAATTGAAAAGAGGCAACTTGACTACTTTATAACGGCTAACTGCTAAACTATACCTATGAAAAGTATTCGATTGTCTGCATTCATACACATATAAACTTGAGTGACATCCTTTTCTTAATCCATAGTTATGGAACCACATTCCATGAAGTTCTCTATGCACTGTTCTTGAGAGAATCTGAAGGCCACATTAAGTTTGGAGGTCTCTAGTCATTGACTCTATAATTTTACATGGCCTACCACTTTGAGTTGCTGTCATTCCCAGTTGCTTCTATTTATACCAATAACAGTGGTAGGGATTTTCACAACTAGATTTGTTGCACAGGTGGCATCCTATCAGAGTACCACGCTGGAATTCACTGATCTCCTGAGACCGACCCAGTCTTTCACAAATGTTTGCAGAAGCAGTCTGCATGCTTAGGTGCTTGACTTTATACACCTGTGGCCATGAAAGTGATTGGAACACCTGAATTCAATGATTTGGATGGGTGAGTGAATACTTTTGGCAATAAAATATATGAAAAAAAAAACTTATTTAGTTCATACTAATAGGATGTAAGTTTCGGAAGCCCATACCTTGCACATAACCAAACACCAACACTGAACACAGTTCTCTAAGTAAAATCTAGTCCTGATCCAATGCTCGGTATACATACCTACCTTCACCTATGGCTGGAAGCTGTGAGTAGTGACTAAAAGAAAAACAGTGCAGATATATGCAAACCCTTAGAGGTGGTGTGATGAGCTCAGTGACTTGGAAGGGGCTCAAGGAAGAGCTGCTGCTGCTCTGCATCACACAGAGCCACTTGAGATGAGGAATCTGACTAGGACACCTCTTAAAGTGAGGTGTTTCAGGCATGTCCAGCTGGGAGCAGACCCCAGTTAGACACCTGGAGAGATTATTTCTCTTGCCTGGCTCAGGAATGCCGTGGTATCCCAAAGGAGCTAGAGGTGGCAGTAGGGCAGAGGGAGGCCTGGCTGTCTTTGCGACCCTTTCTTGGAGTGGTGAAATGAATGGACGGATGGAATTCTAGACTCCATTCACTATTGCAACATCACAGATGAGGTCACTAACCAAAAAGGTTACTGTGGCAACAGATGTAAAACATACATAAAACATGGGGCACTCTGGCGGTCCAGGGATTTAAGATTGTGAAGATAAAATGCAGTATCCCCATCGCCCATCATTCACTTTTTTCTTGCCATCACTATTGTCAGCTGTTGAATAATGTGTAATGTTGCATTGCATGTCTGCGGCAAAACTGAAGAAACATAAGACTGGACTCCAGATCCAGTCAAAAGCAAATATTTTTTCTTACAAAACACTGAAGTGATTTAGCAGCAGCCTCTGATCGAATCTCAAGCCTCTAATATGCTTCTTCCTATGTGTCCCTCTTTTTTCTCCTCAGCATCTCTCACACCCCTTTTATCCACATTCAAGTTCAAACTGTGTGTGGAGTTTCTTTCTTTCTTTTGGCTGAGAAACTAAAACTCAAACTGCTCATCTCCCTCTCAGTATATGTTCCATCTCTCCAGCTTCCCCCCTCAGCCATCCCTCAGCCATGAAACATAGTGAGGATTCTCTGTCACTGTACACGCTGCTTCACAGAAGAGCTTCCTCCTTCTCTTTCTCCATCTTTCCCGCTGTCTCCAGTGTCTTTCCCTTTCCTCTCACCTCCCTCCCTCACTTCAACCCCAAAACACCACCTCGTTTTCTCCTTTTCTTTCTACCTTCTTCTTTCGTTGTGTCCCTCAATCTGCTCGTCTACCCCTGCAGGGGGGACAGCTTTTGTGAGTCACTTAGGCCTCGGTGTGTCTATGTACGTGTGTGTCTAAGTGTGTATGTGTACATCTGTGTGTATGTAGTGCTTCACTGCACCGACCCTCCCCAAGCACACACACACACTCTGGCTGCACAGTCACACACTCGCCACACTACTTAAAATGCTCAGTTTGTCATGGCCTGGGTCTAGGGACCCAGGGCTCATGTATTTTAGTGTATGTTTATGTTTATATTTTCCGTGTGGTGTTTTGGTTTTCTCTCCTTTTTTCCGGATGTTTTGGTTCGCTGAGGAGACTGCGAACCCGGAAGTGTTTCTGCTCTTGAGACAGCCACACCTGCCGCTCGCCCTCCTCTGCCAGCTGCAGTAGATTACGCTCATCAAGGGAGCGGAGGCCGACGCTGGATCCTTGAGTCAGAACTCGTCAGTACAGCCGTGGACTTTTGTATAAACCTTCGAGATAATAGATGTCCTGCTAACCTTGATGTGTTTGTGTTACCAGGAATCTGGAGCGGAGTGTGTTTTGAAGTCATGGTGTGGGAATAGGAGTTTTTTGGAGTCGCCACTTTTCACCTTTCACGGACGTCTGCACTGTGTGGGATTCAGGGAGAATCGCCACGGGACCACAATGCCTGGATTTTGTATATAGTTATGTGTTTTCCACCTCCTGTCAATAAATCCACTGTCCTTCACTAAAAGTCTCGCGTTTGGGCCCTACTTTCACTGCAACTCCACGGTCTGCCATCGCAGCCCGTGACACAGTTGGAGTTCAAATCTTAATCCATCACGTCTGCTTCGAC